TTGTCATTGATGATCAAAATAATATAAGATACTTACTATAATTAAAAATAACAATCAGTAAAATAAATAGCAAATAGTGATTTAATTATTAATATTGCATTGTTTACCAACCGTCCTGAAAATTTATTGATTGATTGGTTATAAAAGTGTCGGTTTATGGAAAGATAGGCAACTAATTTTTTGTAATACATAATCAATCCCAGTTACACTGCAGAGTTTTAGTTGCTATTGTCGGCCGCACTAGTCAAGTGAAATTTCCGAATTACGTATTACGGAAATCCCTTACATTAGTATAAAAATATACTATATCACGTGTTTAATATATGCTAGAAAGTGACCGACCAGATAATTTTAGTATATTATACAGTATAAAATATATCTATTTATAACATTAAAATTTCATCTAAATAAAATCGCTAGTTTTCAAGAAAATTCACAAATAAGGATCGTCACAAATTCGCAAAATTATTGATCAATATAAAATAAATTAAAATTTTCAAGTTTTTATCAAAAATCAAAAATTTTCTTTATTTATTTTTATCCTTTGTTTTATTTTTAATGATAAACTTTATTTTTTTATTTCTTTATCTTACTTTTTAATTACAAACTTTATTTTTGATTTCCGACTTTCGAATTTACATATACCGGAAATAAAATCCGAAAATCCATTTAAACAATATAAATTACTATAGTACGGAAACTTCACTCGAAATTATTGTAAGCACACCTGCACAAGTGCCGTAAGGGTGCCGCACGAGTAGTGCATAAACAACACCCCCTCTGCGGCCGAAAATAGCAACTAAAACTCTGCTATCCAAACATCGATGGAAGAATAGTTTACGAATTCAAGAACTATAATATGGTAATAAACTGGGACGTGAGTGGAGCCCGCGGGATCTTTCTGCGGGCATTATTTGATGGAGCCATTCGCATGCGGATGTAGGAATTTGCAATCCTTATTATTACAGTAGTACGATTTGACATACTGTAGTATACTGTAGTACAGAAATTACTAACTATACCAATGCGGGGATGTTTTCAAACCAGGAATCGTATTGACAAAAATATTGATAATTACCGTATTTCACTCCTATATAATGATCTCGAGGTAACACATAATGTGAAGAATTCTATTTCGTGTATATAATAAATACTTAAAGCAAGATTGAGGATGTATTCAACATCAAGGATGACCTATGATATGTAAATCATCGCAAGTTAATATTCATCGAAAAATGCTCATACAAGCTAACATTATTTCTTGTAAATAGAGCGAATAAATGCGTGTTACAGATTTGGAAAACATGTACCGTATTACAATATATGCATTCCTATGCACAAGTTACTGGAAAATAGATACCCCTGATCATTGAGGATTGCCAAGAAAATAATTATTTGTTTAATTAAAATAGAAAACAGTTTGTAAATCAAATACTGTAGTCGATAATCTGGGATTTTTTTTTATAAAGTCTAATAAAAATGTCGCGTCTAAAACCTGCTATTTTGGTACTCTGAAATAAGAAGAATGCACCAGGCGCTCCGGGACAGGATCGAAGATCTTCGGTCTTTAGAAATACAATATGTTACATTGTTCTTATAAATAACTTCAGTCCACATATCATGCTTAAATGTCGAGGTGTTGTTCACACACAAGCAGGGGTTTTGAAATTCCATTAAGTCTTACACTTTGAAATATAGTTCCCAAATATTTTCTGTTAATATGACGAATCGCATTAAGAATGTACTTTGATTTATTGTTTTGATTATACGATTTGTATGCAGAATGCGCGTAAGAACTTTAACGCTCAATGAAACATACCAATAAAGGTGAATGACATTATTTAAAAAATGAATATGAAGAAATAAAAATGATACATATTGCGCAGTAATTTTTATTTCATAAAATGCATAACGGTATTGGTGTAATTTAAAGCTTTTGCTAATATTCCTTTAAGATACAAGAGAAATATCTAAACATCTCATATTCATATTTTCACTTGGAATGCAATACGTCAACGCGAGGGTGTAATTACGAATAACTGATTTTAGTCAAATTTATTTATGGAACTCTGCTAGTTCAAAAGTTTATACTGTCTACTCATATATGCAAACCTATTTTTTTTTGACACCTTTCGTGTAACTTCTTTGTTATAAAAAAAATATATCGATTGTGGAATTTCTATATAGGGCTCAAAGCTTAACTCAAAATTGCAAGTACTCTATGCACCACGTTGAGCAACACATAATAAAGTTAATTTATTGATGAATTATAAAGCCGTGAGGCATGTTTAGTTATCGAATAATGCGAACAAGATTTGTCATAAGCATCAAGAATAGAATGCCATTTCTTTACGAAATTATTCAACAGGATGCTATAAAAGAAGCTTTCATTTTCTCCTTTCCCTACAACCCATTCTAAAAAAAAAAAAAGACAATACGATAAAATGTGGATTAAGACTATATTCATATTTATTGGTCTAATTTGGTACGGTCTCTCTGGATCCGCAGCTCCTCCACCGGAGAAAGATTATAAATCTCTTTTTCATACCAATATTTTTGAAGCGTTTATACCGTTACCAGAATATCCCAAAAATGTAACCCGTAATTATACATTTGAACTGTTAAATGTTTACTTGGCTCCTGATGGCTTCACTCGTCCAGTATGGTCGGTGAATGGGCAGTAAGTATCTTTTCTCTTAGTAATTAAATGACTGAAACATCTCACGATTAATTAATTCTGTCTTTAAGATACCCCGGTCCGATGATCCGTGCAAACTTTGGTGATAAATTTAATATTACAGTGATAAATCGTTTGGGTGATCCCTCTGCAAGTATGTAGACAGAAAGTAATATAAAGCTTTATATTCTGCGTGTTAATATTTAATTTTCATTCCTAATCTACAAAACCTAGTTCACTGGCACGGTATTGATCAAAAAGGCACAAATTGGTTTGACGGTGTTCCTGGGACTACTCAATGCCCGATTCCAAACGGGATTAACTTTTCGTATGTATTTGACCTCCAACAATCCGGAACTTACTGGTATCATGCTCATCTCCTTGCTCAGCTTGTTGATGGACTAAGGGTAGAGTGCTTATGTTTTATTTAAAAGCCTTTTTTACGCGAAAAAAAAGATAAATAAGAAACGATTCTATATTCAAAGGGTCCCTTGGTAATACACGATCCTGATGATCCAAATAAACACGAATATGACTACGAATACGTGATGACAGTGGC